GTTAGGTCTTAAAATGTATATATTCTCACTTGGATTACAAACCCTAACATCCTAATATTAATTCCACCAAGTGAAGTGCAAGAATCTAAGTCATTCAAGTCCGTCTATTATCCATCGTATCAAACTAATACAGTTTAAGATGGAGGATAAGACCCCTAGGGATAAATATTTGAGTAGATTTCTGGGACCAAGTAGGAGTTGTCGCAGTTTTAAATGCAATGATTGCATACAAGGCGTTACGATCTGTGATTTGCCATTGTAAACAGAGTGAAGATCCCGCGGGATTTTCGTGTGTCGTCATCTAACATAATTTTCCCAAGTTCTAATCGCGCAGTCGTTACATAGATCATACACAAACATGTTATGAAACTGGATAGAAAACTGTTAGACGACATTAAATTGGTTGTCCATAATTGCATGTAACGGAAAATTCGGTTACCGCGAAATTATGCTCGCGGTAACCTGGATTTTCCAAGACAAAAGCTTGTCAGAAAATTCAGAGTTTATTGATGATGTACAGTCACGTAAATCGTAAAGTAACCAAGTACTATAGGCGTCAAATATACCAACTGGACTACAAGAAAAAAAATTTAATCACTCAAACTAGAATATATTCCAACAAATATACTTTTCGGTCAAATTTGGTATCATCGACAGTATACAAGAGTACTAAGCAAATACACTGATATCAAAGAAATAACTTTGACGCACTTGGTTATCAAACACGGAGCGCGATTCTCCGGATCTCTTTCTTTGTCTGAGCAGATTCAGCTCCGCATGGAGTCTTATACTAGTGGAAAACCAATTACGCAGGTCCAGAGCCAGACCGACGAAAAGCATATACATTTATTGCTTGTAGGGTGACGAGATTTCTTAATTGGATAATCCATATTAGATTACCGCAAAAATAAGTTTGCGGTAATCCAGTTTAGGTTACAGCAATTTTAAGTATGGTTACAGCAATTTTAATTGGAAAATCCATATTAGATTACCGCAAAAATAAGTCTGCGGTAATCCAGTTTAGGTTACAGCAATTTTACGTATGGTTACAGCAATTTTAATTGGAAAATCCATATTAGATTACCGCAAAAATAAGTCTGCGGTAATCCAGTTTAGGTTACAGCAATTTTAAAAATCGTTTTTGAAAAATTTCTCTACCCAAAATAGTTTTATCTGATACCAGTCACTACTGTAAGAGTAACTTACCTGTTTCGAGATCCATACTGATAGTTGTTCCGACCATGATAATCCGACGATCCCTGTTTTGCACGCCCTTCGTCTGTCAATTCAATTGTATACTCCAACTAAAATATATACATTCATTAATATAGTCCGAATTATTACAAGAACAGAAGAACTATAAATAGAACTAATTCGTTGTTAAAGAATTATTATAATTATGAGGATGGAGACATCATTTAGTTGTGTATCTTACAATAGACCTGGAAATAATTCCAGCCATTCTTGGATCCTACTCTAGATCTATATAGGAAGCTAATCATTTCTTTGAAAACGCGGTGGTCAAATTACATCTGACAAATAGTTATGAGGCCAAATATATTGACTTAATGCTGGTCGGGCAATTTGAAAAAGCCGTAATTCATATTATTTTGAAAAAGGTTTGAAAACTTGAAATTTTACCCGGACAAATGTTGAACACTTTTTGCAACTCTTTTATCAGAATTGGTGTAGTAGAAGGAAAGTTATGATTGTGAAAGTAAGCAGGCCGGAACATAATTTTTCCGGTTCCCCAAAACATTCTAATATATGTTTAAGTACATTTAAGAGATTGTTATGAGACTTTTTATGAAAGTCACGCCATTTGCCACTGGCAAAATATTGTATTTGTATTGTATGCATGTCATTCGTGTAATTTTATATGGCGAAGTAGAACAAATAAATAAATAAATAAAACACTGCTACTCAACGATCGGACCCAAACCATGCCAATGGCTCGATCCACACACCCTCCCCACCAGATCAAGCTGGACCCATCCCTGAAAACAACCACTAAGGGATATACATACCCCACAAGATCCTCGGAGTATATAGGGATCAGTAGGATAATCATATCCTTCACAGTTCACATCAATCTTGCCAAATCTGTATTTGTTTTCCATATCTGTCTTACACTCCCACTACATATTAAACATTAAAATAATAATTGTCATATTGTAACAGGGTTTGAAGTGTCACTTGCAGACTGTGGTGATGTGACACGGCGGGGCTAGGTGTGTTGTAAGTGGCCTCTATGCAGGCCTTAAAATATATTTTACAGGACCGTCTGCCAAAATGTCCGATGACTTTGAGCTTGGGTGGGACATGTGTATGATGATGTCCGATGACCTTCAGTTCAGTTTGGCTCGGAAATAAGTCTGCATGACACGAATACCATCAGAACAATGTATTAATACTAAACGGTAAATGTTGTAAAGATATTAAACAATTTGCGTCATTCATATTTATTTCGAAGCCAAAATTAACTTGTTTGCAAATAGCAGCAGTAAGACTTCGACAACTTAAGCCCGAAAACATCATTTCCGGTTCACTTTTTATACATTACTCTGATAGTCTCCATTTAATTCACGTCAGACAAAGCTACAGTTGCACACCAATACACTCGGGTAGTCAAAGAATAAGGTCAGTTTCACTTAGGTCGGACAGAATGTCTGGCGATTTCCTCTCTACGTCGGACAATTTCACGAATGGTTCGGACAATGTGTGTGACCGACCAATATTTTAAGGTCTACCACTCTAAAAACATGCTGGTTACCCTAGAAATAACCCTAATTGGGTTAACTTAAAATCTGGTTAAATTCCATGGTTAAATTTCATGGTTAGTTTATCTGACTTCCTACCATAGCCTGGTTAATATAACAAGGAATCTGGTTATATTTGAGCGGGCATCCCGGTCAAATTAAGCAGACTACATATTACATATATTAGGTACCTAACCAGGCGCTCCTGGGTTATTTCTTGGTTACCCAGGAAAATCTGAACCAGGGTGTTGTTAGAGTGTGGAGAGATAAATATTTAGTCTTCAGTAATATTTAGTGCACAATTAAGATATATTGGACCAATCCCCAATTAACCAAAATTTTGAACTCAACAAGTATAAGCAAAAATTTCATCACAGTTTGAAAGAGCATCACAAAATTAGTAATATTCCAAAGTTTCGTTGCAAAATGCTGTAAAATGCAGATAATATAGCCTTGTGAAGTTTGCAATTTTCAGTCAGTTTAGATCACAAACGGGAAATGGTTACCACTTCCGTGCGTAATACAAAATGACTGAAAATTGCAAACTTCGCAAGGCTATATTATCCGCAATTTACAACATTTCGCAACGAAACTTTGGAGTATTACTAATTTTGTGATGCTCTTTCAAGCTGTGATGAAATTTTTGTTTAGGCTAGTTGAGATCAAAATTTTGGAAAAGTGGTAACCGTTTCCCGCTCGTAAATCGTAATACAACTGAAAATGACTGAAAATTGCAAACTTCGTAAGGCTATATTATCTGCATTTTACAACATTTCGCAACGAAACTTTGGAATATTACTAATTTTGTGATGCTCTTTCATGCTGTGATGAAATTTTGTCTAGATTTGTTGAGATCAAAATTTTGGTTAATAGACAATTCCCAATTATAGACTAATTTTAAAATTAGGTAAGGAAACTCAAATAAATCACCACAGCTAGAAACAGCATACTAAAATTAGTAAAATTACAAAGTTTGGTTGCGAAATGTTGTAAAATGAGGTTATGAGGAAAGTATAGCCTTGCAAAGTTCGCAAATTTTGTATACTTTTGTATTGCTTGCGGAAATTCCTACCACATTCCTACCACATTTAGGCCGAAAATGTCGTACGCAATACAAAAGTATACAAAATTTGCAAGGCTATATTTTCCACATTTTACAACATTTGGCAACCAAATTTTGTAATTTTACTAATTTTAGTATGCTCTTTCTAGCTGTGGTGATTTATTTGCATCTCCTTGCTTAGTTTTAAAATTAGTCTATAATGGGAATTGTCTATTGGGGATTGGTCCATTCATTATTAATTCACTATCGATGACCTCTCATCAACGAGGATTTGGTAGCGCAATCGTCAGAGAAATCGACTTTCACCTCTGAGATGGGTTTTTTACCCAACCTCAAATATCAATTAAAAAATAAATACCCACCCCTGGCCAAAAAACGTTATAAAAGGACACCATTCAGTTCTCCAAGGGCACAGAATAAAGACATACAGAAGTGTAACTTCCATTACAAAACCGTAAGGCGCTTTCACCGAAATAGCTGGCGGCCATGTTCTTAGCAAGTGCCCTAAAGAGAGGCATTCACCCCTCTGGAATATTAAATTTTCAATATGTTTTCAGGGGGGTGACTGCCTCTCTTTAGGGCACTTGCTAAGAACATGGCGGACTGAAAAAATCCCTTACGCACTTTTAATAAGAAGATACACTTCTGTATGTCTTTATTCTGTGCCAAGGGTGGGTTGCCTACAAAATTTTTGTAGTTCGCTATAACTACAGCTACTTCAAAAATATGTAGTCAGCTACAACTACTACTACTTTTGAACAAAGGTAGTTCGCTACTGACTACAGCTACTGCTTAAAAATTGTAGCGAACTATTTCGCTATTTCGCTACGCTATATTTTTTAGTTTTACTGTATTTGGAGCATCTACTAACTCGGGCTAAAATGTAACCTATAACAAATCGACTTACGAGTAGCAACAGTAAACACAAAGTGTGCAAATTGACTATTGAGTATTGATTTTAAGCAAACCGTGTCTCAATATCGTGCTATTCTATCAAGTTGCTAACAATTTCAAAAAGTAGCGAATAGCGATTCGCTGTTTGAAAAGTAAACTACTTGGCTGCTTTTAGGCAAAATGTAGTTCGCTATAACTACATGCAGCTACTGTTTTAAAAAAGTAGTCAAAAACTACTGGCTACTTGAAAATAATTATTGTAGTTCGCTACAGTAGCGAACTACAACTACTTCGCTACTACCCACCCCTGCAGTTCTCACACATGTCCTTTAAGGCTCGTTAACTTTACACTTGCAATTTTTGCTGCGATTTCTAGTGCGATTTTCTCCTTCTTATGGATGTGAACGAGTGGATAAGTTATAAATATTCAGATGAGGGTACATATTACTACGAACATTCATAACTCGTCTACTCGTTCACTTGCATCAGGAGGAAATCGCACTAGAAAAAGTGTAAATTAACGGGCCTTTACCACTTCTGTGACAAGAGTTTGATAACTGCTTGTGCAATTTTCTACTGTCTAGTATTTTATGTTGTCTGCACATTTAATTTGCCTCCTTTCTTTGGAGACATTTGCCTCATGCTAAATCGGAAATGATCAAGATATAGTGACTCTGATTGATTGATTGATTGATTGATTGATTTACATATTGTATGGACATGACTGTTCACATTGCTTTTTAGTCTTCAATATTTGAGTGAGTCATGCTTTGGAAATGACAATAAATTTTTATTACCCAACCCTGGAGTTGTTTTGTTTTTCACTTACCCAACCTTTTACTCGCTCAAGCTTCTGTTTCCCCAACTCCCTGCCACAAATATGACTGGTCTCCAGAGGCCACAGGGAATGTTCATAGGGTGGGCTGGGATTAGCCTCTAAAGCCTGGCGCACACGATGCGATTTTAGTTGGCCGATAAAAATCGTTTGACATACCGATATACATCGGTATACTCCGCACACGATTACGAAAAAAATATGTTGCCAAATAAATATTGCCAAATAAATATAAGCACGTGATCACAGCATGAAATCTGATTGGTTATACTTAAAATTCCACCGATAAAAATCGTATAATATCAAAACGTTTTGATGTTGTCCGATTAAAATCGAGCAACAAAAATCGGTTAAAAATGACACCGTACACCACACAACCATTTTGTTAGTTTTAGTCAAACGACTTTTATCGGCCGACTAAAATCGCATCGTGTGCGCCAGGCTTGACTGACCACCGTTATACATGTACGGATGTACCTTGCTCTCCGTGATTATATATAGGCATGTGTCATAAGGTGGCAGCCATTAGAAAGACTTCAACTTGATCAGGTAGAGCTGCGTCCTTCGCAATTCAGCTTTAAGGTAATTCCGCAGTTTTGCATTGCGCACTTTTACTGCGCACATCTTATAACTTATAATTTCATCCATTATATGTACCGTTTAAAAAAAATCATTTTATGACAATTTTATGTTACTTCAAAACATCTTTGGTTACATTCGTGGAAAGAATTTCGTTAAAATCAATGTTTTCAAAAAAGGCATACAAAAGTGTAGCTAGGGTTCCCTGTGTCTGTAGTATATTTATTTACTTGTATTTCACATTTTAATGCCACAATTCCCTAAAAAGATCGGTGACCCCCGTTTTTTAACTGATAATTTATTTCTTTAATGCATTTTACATTTCATATCCGAAATTAAAAGAAAAATCATTTCTGGATCTTGAAAAAAAATCCTTTATCAATGCATGTTCTCAAAGAAAGATATGTAAAGAAATGTGGAAAAGACATTTGTGGATCAGAATTGTACACGTTAGTAGTTTCATTTTGCTCAAAACACAATATTTTTCAAAAATAATTACAAGATAGGTTTACTAAAGCAAAATCCGCGCTAAAAACGTCAATAAATATCGGGCTGTTGTGATTTTGCTGTTACTCGTAATGAGCGTCAAGATGGCGCCATATTGGGGTAAAGGTGGTATATTGTGATTGTCATATCTTCTTAACGAGTTCGGTGACCCCATCTTTTTTGTGTGATTTTACTTTAATTTTTATTTATTTATTTATTTATTTATTTAGCTTTGCCAACTAGGGCAGGGTCACCACAACAGCATATGCCAATTACTGTGGGTCCTTTTACCTAACCCACCCTGTCAACTTTCCCTGTGGGAGGAAACCGGAGTACCCGGGGAAGGCCCGCGGCTTTCGGCAGAGCGTTGACTTTTACTCTTTTCACATGAGGACTGGGTTCGAGTCGCACTGAGAAGATTCTCACTGAGGCTTGAACCTGCGGCCTTAGAGGTGAAAGGCAAGTGCGCTAACCACTTGGCCACCGAAGTATATCATAAACTCC